TTCTCCTGTTGATTTATTTTTGAAGTTTAATCTAGGATTGTATGTGTAAAAGCCTTGACAAACGTTATAATAGGGTTTACTTTATTTCTTTTAAAATTAACGATAAACCTTCACCAACGTATAAACGAAAGAGAGAAATTCTTTAATCAATAATACAAGAAAAAGTTTTTATTACTGGCGCCCTCTAACGTCAATAAAGATTGTCAATCCGCCATTATGTTCCGCCATTTTGCTTGATTGGGAGTGAACTTAAAATATTGTTTCTATGTATTCTAACGCGGAAATTAGTTATTTTTTTAATAAATAGTGTCCGAACACACTAATGGCTTGCTTAAATACCCTTAAGTTAGAAATCAAGACCTTAGAACATGTGTTCCCAAAAAACCATGAGCGGTTTCAGATAATGTCAGCGAGTGTAGACGAATTGACCTGCAGATTCGTTGGCAATAATGGAAAGAAATATGAAATACATGCTAACATTACCGTAAGTATACATGTTACTAATGTGTCATTAGCCGTAGCACTTGATTTTTACACTCGAGTTTAAACCTATGCGCTTATTGATTATCTCTAGTTTGGACAAAGAGCCGTTGTTTATGAGGGCAGGGCTGTCAACAGAAAGTTTACGGAAGCATTCAATTCATTTCCCATATGCATATGTGATAATTAACACGTTAGAATTGTTAAACAGTATATTGTTTGTTTTTAAAAGTTTTTGTAAGCATGCGTTACGTGTTATTGATTGTATGTTGCCTTTACAATGCACACAGAGTCCGTGACGAATCATTCTTTATCGATCATAAAGTTTCAGTTTTCATTTCTGTGTTAGTACTTAGTACAGCTACATTCTATTGAGGGTAATATCTATTTTGTTTGGGTAACGGTACTCACGCTGAATATTGGGACAAAGGCTCTTAGTCATTCTTTGGTGATTTTTTGTCGTACGTATATTCAACTGCATCGTTTTTTTTCACATGTTACAAAATTTAACTAACAATAGAATCTATTCTAATCTTGTATAACTTATTTGTAGTACAAATACCTTGTTTAGCATAATTTTTGTAATAAATTCATAAATAGTAGGTATATTATTGGTGATAGACAAGTTACAATAAATTAACATATTTTTGAAGAAAAAAAAAACACCATGCCATTCTTTATACTAAGGTATAATATAAGATATCTTTACATGAAAATCATTATTGTTGTCTTATGTATTCTGTGTTCTTTTTAATTTTTTCTATTAATGTGTGTTCAATAAAATCCTTTAACAAAAAAATATAAGCTAATAATAATAGTTTGAGTAATTAATTAATAACAGAGTTATTTTGTCAGGAGACATACCCAACCACACCCCCCGTATGGTTTGCTGACAGCGAGGACCCTATTGTGACAAATGCTGTTCAAATACTCAGCAACACACAGGGCAGAGACAATCATGTTATAAATCAGGTATGTGCCATTATGTACAGTTTTCAAAGATACATTTATACATAGATCATCAGCTCACTATATGACCCCACTGAGGGGCTTGGAGCCTATGTTACCCTACATATGTCATTGCAAGTCAAGTGCTTAACCCCGAACCATGGCTCTGTTATTTCTTTCTCTCACTCTATATACAGTATGGTAATATTATAAGTAAAAACAATCAAAACTCATAGAATGATAAACATGATACTATGCTTTTATATGTGTTTCGTCCATGTAAACTTATTTCTATTGTGAGGAAATGAATGGTCTTATGGCACTTACATATAACTGAATTTTTTGAATATCATTAATGATATTCCAAAATGCCATAGTAATAGTTATGTATTATGTAATTTGATGAAATTTATTTGTGATTCTAGGTGGGTATATTATTGCGGGAATTGTGCAAATTACATGGAGTGCCAGAGCCTCCGGACTTGGACTCATTGGCTCTCCCCGTCCATCCTGCACCCCAACAAAGGTAAATACTTAATTATATGCATTTAGTATTGTATGTAGATGAATGTTTATTTCATGTTAATATTGAGCAATTACCACGAAGACAGATTATAAAGCAAATATAATCTGTAAATATTTTTAGGTAATTTATCAGCATTAATTGTATTTGTTTTATTTTATTATAATAAGAGAACAATACAGTGTTTGATTTATTGAACTAGGTGTAATATTTTAAGTATGAGTGTGGTGGGGTACACCAGTAGAGGTAGGTCTAGAAAGAGATGGATGGATGAGATGATGTGTGAGAGGTAACATTGATGAAGTAGGGACTGATGTAGGTGATTAAGTGTTACAAGGTCATTTCACAATGTAGTATTTTACATCATTCATAGAGTACCAAGTGTAACTTCCAATGGAGCGGAATCAGGCACAGAGGAAGATGAGGAAATGGCAGCTGAGGAAGATGATTCTGAAGGGGAGGAGGACTTGCCACTTGAAATGGTTGATGATGCTGGACGCAGCAACAAGGTAGGGAATTTTAATTTGTTCTCTTCATTTTATTTAAAAATTTGGGAACTTACTTTTATCAGTGTCTAGTATTGTGTAGCTTCAATCATTATTAAAAGAGCAGATTCTTAATTGTTATTATGTTTTTTGGGTAATATGATCACCAAGAAGATCCTTGTTTGTCATTGTCTTCTTATCATTTTCTCCTATTAATCAAATTATTGTGCATCTCAGGACGAAATGGAAACTGAACATCTAGCAACATTAGAACGGCTGCGACAGAGCCAGCGGCAGGATTACCTTTCAGGCAGTGTCTCGGGCAGCCTGCAAGCCACAGACAGACTGATGAAGGAGCTGCGCGATATATACCGATCTCATTCTTTCAAAAACAATATGTACTCTATAGGTGAGTTTTAATATGATTTTTTGTTAACTGACTGGAGAGTATTATTTGTCTGTTTGTTTCATGTTGATTTTAGCTACTTTAGTATAGTATCTACATAAAAAGATTGAAGTGTATTTTTACTTTAGTGGGTAAGTTAGATAGATTTTTTTTAACTTACTTTTACTTATTTAATGGTTTTAAATAAGTCGAAATTCTTTTTAAACACTAAGAAAAATTATCTGTTGAGTAAGCGAGTGTTGAGTACAATATTTCTTCTTGAAGATGCAAGCATTTTACTCTTTAAGAATTTGACAACAATTTAATATAATAATTTTATTTCTTACAGAATTAGTGAATGATTCATTATATGAATGGAATATAAGACTACGTTCAGTGGATCCCGACAGTCCACTCCATAATGACTTGCTGCTGCTTAAAGAGAAGGAGGGCAAGGACTCTATTCTCCTGAACATTATATTCAAAGAAACATACCCGTTTGAACCACCCTTTGTGCGCGTCGTTTATCCTATTATATCAGGTAATTATTTCTTATGGTTTCCATTGTATTAAGTCTTGGAAGTTATTGATTATTTAGAACTAGCTGTTGCCCGCGACTCCGTCCGCGCGATAATTAACAAAAACTTAGTAGGCTATATGTTTTCCCGGACTGTACTAAATCTGTGCCAAATTTCATAAATATCTGTTGAGCAGTTCCAGAGATACCTTCTATCAAACATCCATCCATCCATAGTATTTCCATTAGTTACTTTCAAATGATTTTTTTTCTTACTTTCAAATGTTTTATTAGTTTTTGTAGTAACTATCCTGTTATGCACTTTTTTTTTGTAAATTTACTGTGATTTAAGACCGAGGCAATGCATAAAATATCTTAGAGAATGTTTTAATTTTTTTTTTACCACATTAAAGTAAATTATAAACTCCTTGGCCTTATTTCCACTCAGATGGCCATACGCTTTTAAAACTTAAAGTTTTGGCTTAATTTTTTACGGTCGGTACTAATTAAGCGTTAATTATTTTTTTTGTAGGAGGTTACGTGCTAGTAGGCGGAGCTATTTGTATGGAGTTGCTGACGAAGCAGGGCTGGTCATCCGCGTACACAGTGGAGGCGGTGATAATGCAGATCGCGGCCACGCTGGTGAAGGGCAAGGCGCGCATACAGTTCGGTGCGACCAAAGTCGTGTCGCAGACGCAGTATAGCCTTGCGCGTGCGCAGCAGAGCTTCAAGTGCCTCGTACAGATACATGAGAAGAGTGGTTAGTATGAAATATAATGAGCTATTGTATAATTTTAACATGACCACTATTGAATCGCCTTTTTTAACTTTAATAAGAAGATGCGTTGGTTTTTCGGCTAGAGTGGTTGACTATGGCCTAGTCTCCTAACTTAGGGTAGGCTCCTAATCCATCGGTGGGGACGTATAGTGAGCTGATGATGATATATGCAAGTAATTTAGGCTGGTTAAAGTTTGTGATTTGAATGAAGTAAAAAAATAGTATTATAAAACTGTCTAATGATGTTTTTCTTATTTAATTTTTTAGTGTGTTATTATATTATGTTCCATTTTCATTGGTAATATGGTTTTGTGGAAAAATACAAAATTTTTATGATATGAACTGTTATTGTTTGGAGAAAATGTATATATACTTTGGAAATTATTAATTTCTGCATTAAAAGTGGTTTTCAACGTTTAGGTCTTGATTTCTAACTTGATAAAGAGGTGTTTTTTTGTATATTTAATATGTATTTTGTCGTTTTGCAGGTTGGTTCACGCCGCCCAAGGAGGACGGTTAGGCCGTCGTCCGTCTGTAAATTAAGTTTAATGTGCGACAGCAACGCCCGTATGACAGAGACAATCTTATTCGTAAAGTGATTTGTGAGCGGCATCTCCATATTGTAATTCCATTGTTTGTTTCTCGGAGGCTGCGGCGATTATTCTGTGTACCTTGATCTGTATCTTAAGTGCTGCAACCTGAGTGCGGAGCGTTGAAGAGAGACTCTACAAGACTTATAGGAAATGTTTAATGTCTAACGTTTTTTGTAATCATTTTTTTTTCTCGTCTCAATACTTGGATGATACGGTAGCCCCCTACGGAGTGTGAAGTTGGATAAATTCTTTGCATTTCTTTCTAGCTATTAAATAAATGAAAAACCTGTGATTTGTAAAAATTTTTTTTCTTTTTTTTTTTAAATTATGCTTAACTAACATGTGGCCAGCAATGTTTGCTTAATGTCTCTGCTATAACATTCTTGGCCCTTGCTACCGATATGTGTATATTTCATTTGATGTTCTTCGATTCAATAGTGTAAATTAAAAAAAAAAATCAGTCGACTATCTTGATTATAGGCAAGTTAGTGTACAATTACTTTGCTATTGTTTTAAAATATATAACAGCTTCGAATACACAAATTATGTTAATAAATGTGATTTTCTATTGTGTAGGAGCTAAAGTTTGGATTTTTGTTTATTATGTTCCATGAGAGTCTTCAAGCCGTAGATGTGCTGTTTGCTGCCGGGTTCATTTATCCTTTTACAGTATTCTTGCTGTGACATATTATTAAACCATTGTTTCAATTTAGGATATCTAAAAATAAAAATAAAATATACTAGCTGTAATTTATGGTGTTTTAAAAATATATTATTACTCCATTAATTTTGAGCAGTTAAGCAGGATTTTCATGTAAGTAAAATCTATTAAAAATGGTTGCCAAGATTCAGAAGTTGCTTTTGTAAATGTGATGTCTACTGGAATGATGCTTTAAAGTCATACTAATTTACAGAACCCCTTAAAAGTCTTTTATTATTTGTAGTGGTTTTAGACCCCTCTAATAACCTTAATAATCTTTTTTAATACTTCTACGTCATCAGTCAGAAAATAAATACATGTCATATTATAGTCCCCCCTCCGTCGTGATTTTTTGAACACCACCCCATATCTTAGGGGGTTAAAACACTACTCCCGGTTCGTTCAGCTGCACTTGAGGAAACTCACCTAGGGCGTTTTGGTGAGTCAAGTCTGTCTTTCTCTCAGAAGGCAAGGCATCTTTTAGAAGATTTAATCCCCGATGAAAAGAGGTTTGAACAAATTAATAAAAGATTAACGATTATAAAAGTGACTTTTCAGATGTTGCTCTTTCTCAGCTGTGTATACTTACGTTTTTTCGTTGATAGAATGCAATCCGTTGAGTGTTGACATGGTGGTCATGACGCTAATATCTGCAAGAGTTATGACGTCATCAGCCAAGTATAACGTATCAGATAAATATATTTCAAGCATTCTGTACGCGTCTTCGACATTCCTTATCATGGATTTTGATATTTCAGTCAGTTTACCACCGTAAGTTGGAGCCTGAAACATAGTATGTTAAACAACGTATAACTATATTATTAATATTGAAAACCTGGACCTAAATGCAAAAAAAAATAATATTAAGATAAAAGCCAGTCCGGTAAAGACTAAAAAATTGATATCTTTGGTTTTTTGGTTGTGCAAAGTATTTCTTTATCCGTATCAAAACATCGTACCCAAGTTTCATTCGTTTGTTTCGCCTCGGAATCGAATTGTAAGACGCATTTATTGTTTTAGTTTCAGGTTAAGGACATCTTCATCAGAAAACGAAGATAAAAAGTCCTCAACAGACAACAGACTGACATTAGCTAATACTGGATTAGGTTAGTTTTATTTTTTATTTACTTTTTTTTAGAAACGATATTAACTTGCTCTGTTATAAACATTGCAATGATATAAACTAGACGAATTGAATTATGGCTAACTGTGTAATTCGTATGCAACATGAATGAAATCCAAAATAACCTCTTACCATAATAGACCTGAGTCTTGGAAATAAAACGCCGCAATCGAAAAATAATCTTTGATTAATCGTAGCTCTTTTTCTCTTGTCTGATGGATAAAAATGTTGGTGTTCAGATTTGGCGTACTTATCGAAAAGGTAGAGAATTATGGCGTGACTAGAAAGAGAAATAGGTCCTTTTATAATATGCTTTTTGGATTTAAGTAATGGTTTCTGTCCCTTTCTTACCTATCAGCTAAACAGAAGTTGTCTTCTTCTAACATAGGAACAGTCCTCATTGGATTTTTCTGGAATAATAGTTACAAATTGATGATAAATATATTGATTCAAGCTATTATGTGCCCTAAATATCCTACCAAAATTTCAATTAAATCTGGCCAGAGATTTCGAAACGTGTGGGGACAAACACATTCATTTATATTTATATAGATTTTATATAGCATGACTACGCTTTCAACCGACTTATCATCAATAGGGGGTCCTTATTTACTTCTGCCTCGCGTCTTTATCAGAGAAGTAAGATAATACTTGAGGCAAGCAACTGTTATCACATTATATGAAAGTGAACTTTGACCACCATTGTGTTAGTCTTTGACTATAGCTTTGTATAAGTAACTAGTATTATTTAAAATAAGACTAGACTAGACTAGGGTTGTATCAAAACGGACGACATAATTTTTATCTCTTCGAAGTTTCAGAATATTTAAAAATATGACTATATCATAATTTATACCTTAGTAAGTTCAGGTGTATCTTGTTCTCTTAATACTGGATTTATTTCTTTCATATCCAGATTTAATCCAAGAATATCTGCCACCATCATTACCGTACGAGCCGGCGGGCTTGCGTCTGTTTTGTACAGCAACGGAGACATTTTAACAACTGCAAAATTGTTTATAACGTAAGTAATAATACAATTTTTAAATTGATAAGTTAGCATGAATAGGTTATAAATCTTTTTCCATATGACTGACTTATACAGTGATAAAAGACTAAAATGAGCAAGTAGTGGCGGCTTAAAGATAACATTTTTTGCATTTAGCGTGAGAATCTGCGACTCTAATGACAGTTCTTTAAAAATTTACATCACTCAAAACATTACTAACTAAAATTAAATAAAAAAAATGCAATTTTATTAGATTATAATCTTCTTACCTTTAAATCTCAAGCACAGAGTCCAACGTATTAGTTCACAACACGACTGTTTTTGTTTTCACTTTTCACACAATATGAATGATGAAGATAACCGGTTGTATAATGAAATGGAACAGCCTGACGTCAATACTTATCAGCGCCTGGACAGTTTTTATCGCAATCGTTTAGATCTGCAACTTTGCTATAATCAAAGCGAATGAGAACGAAATCAGATATAAACGTAGCATTTGATTTAATATAATTTGTAATTGTAATTTTGAACAATATCTTTTCTTACTATCGTTTATTTATTTTATTTACAAATGCCGCATCATTTTTATTTCTTTATGTCTTTGACCTGTTGAGTAATTTAATTTTGTTTACATATTTGTAATGATAATTGTTATTTGTAGGAATATGTCATCATAATGTTTACAAATGATGTAATATAAACATTTGTTTACAACGTAAATGTTAGACGTTTTGTAGCATAAGTAACTTGAAAATCATAGACTAACAAATATATTTAAGGAATGTTTTATCCTCGCTCTAGTTTTATTTATATATTTTGCTGCCATCTGAAAATCTTTTCTAGCCAATTAAATCAAAGTGAAAGCTAATTTCTAAGTTAGCGTATAAATTATTTTATTTATAATATATATGCATTAAAGAACACGCGAAATCCATAAGTGATATTTTTACAGTAAAAAAGTAAGTAACTGATCTATTACATCTGTCTTTCAAATTATACTACAAAGAATATACGGAAAGCGATAAATTTTATTCAACTGTAAATTAACAAAAGACATGTCTTAACATTAGTACGGCACATTCGAAAATAAATACGAGACAGATTCTGCGTAATGCGTGCGTCTTATAGCTTCAGCCAACATGACGGAAATATCAACGGTTTGCAGTTTAGGACATTGCTTCATGTGTTTGTCTTGCGGTATCGTATTTGTAACCACTAATGCCTCCAAACATGAATTGTTGATTTTATCGATAGCATTCCCCGCGAGCACTCCATGGGTTAAAATTGCATAGATCTTGTTAGCACCCGCCTCTCGTAGTTTTTCAGCTCCTTTTACAATCGTATCGCAAGTATCCGCTAGATCGTCGACCATAATAGCTGTTCTATCTCGAACATTACCAACTAATACAGTGGAATCCTCTTCGTTAGCTTTCTGTCGTTCTTTATGAATGATTGCGAAGTCTATATCGAGATTATCAGCGATAGATGTCATACGCTTCACACCTCCAGCATCGGGTGATACCATAACGCTACTCTTCCATTCCGGTATATTGTCCTTGATCCATTTAGTTATAGCCGGCTCGGCGTATAAGTTATCCACGGGTATATTGAAGAAACCTTGAATCTGGGACGCGTGTAAATCAATTGTAATAACATGATCCGCCCCAGATACTGAAATAAGGTTAGCGAGTAACTTTGCAGTTATTGGCGCGCGACTTTTTTCCTTTTTGTCTTGTCTTGAATAGGGGAAGCAAGGAATGACAGCTGTCACACGGGACGCAGATGCTATTTTGCAGGCGTTAATCATGATTAAGAGTTCCATTAGATTGTCGTTTATTTCTCCGCAACCACTTTGTACAATGTAAACATCCTCACCTCTTACAGATTCATCTATTTCCACATTAGTTTCTTTATTACTGAACTTCTTGGTTGTCGCTCGTCCTAAATCGATGCCGAGTCGATCGGCAATTTTCTTCGCAATATCAGGATGGGAGCTTCCGGTGAAAACTTTGATGTTCGGCATTCTTTGTTCTTGTTTATTTTCTGATGGTTTATCACTTTTGACGTTAACTGTTTGTTCTTTTTCGTCCGTTCTCATTAGACTATTTGAGGCCAGTGAAGAGACTTCACTGTGTTAGTATCGATAGCGAAATGGACAGTTGTTTGCTTTAAAAACATATTTATCTGAGTTGACCGCGGGGTCAGGTCGATCGGTGTCCCGCACAGTGGAAGTGTACGGAGTTATTTTTATCAAGTTTACTTATCACGTAAGAAGTGTTGTAATGTAAATAATTGTTTGCAGGTGGTGATCACGACTGCCTAGTTTGACTATCATTTTTGCAGCTTTGTCATGTTAAGGGCAAGTAAAATAAAATAGACTTCGTATTTTGCTCAGTAGTTAAAAGCAGAGCTGTGGAAACGAATAATATTTAAGGGTTAGAAGATCTAATATAATCTTATCATCACACAAGCTGTCGCCCGCGACTCCGTCCGCACGGAATTAAAAAAAAACTTTTGGTCGCAGCGTAATGTTATATAGCCTTCCTCTATAAATGGACTATCCAACAAAAATGTTTTTTTTTTAAATCGGACCAGTAGTTCCTGAGATTAGCGCGTTTAATGTTTGTTTAAACTCTTTCGCTTTATAATATTAGTATAGATTTATCTTTGCTATTAAGTTAGGTTTAATTTAATCCGTTTTTAGGGTACAAAAGTACATCAAGTAAAAAACAAAAACGTTATTAAACATTGCATTATATCATTCGTAATAATTACGAACAAACATTGTCTAGTCGTGTCTATTCTAATCATTTTGTGAAATAATACATGCCACGCTTTATAATAGTACTCTCTCAGAATAAAAATTATTTTTTCTTTAAAATTAAAATCATACTGGATTTCTTTGATAGGAATTTAAAATCGTTCAGATATGTTTGAAAATTTATTTATATTTTTTTACAAATTCATACAGATCATATTTATATATATTTGTAATAAATTTCATGTACATCTTTTAATTCACATAAGTTGATAGACGATAATATTCGTCTATGATTGTCGTAATTATTAAATTCATCATCTAAGCCGTAAATATTTATTTCTTGTATTCTATTTGCCCAAATTGCAACCGTTGTATTACAGAATATATCATAATCATCTCCAATTGCTGTTATGTAAAGATTTTCAGCATCTGCTTTAAATTCTATTGTCATATTTTGTGCCATGAAGAGGTGGCCTGATGCTTTACAGTTCGTGTTTTCAGATTCAATTGTGCATTCCAAAGCTATAGTAAAAGCATAACTTGATTCTAGGCGTGTTAGTTCCGCTGTTGCTTTGACATCCTGGAAAATAACTAGACTATTAGATTTTTTAATTAACTTTAAAAGAAGAAAAAACTGAACAAACTGCTTCACGACAACATACTGTTACGTTATTTTTGCCAAATAATTTATTCTTTTCTTCCTTATTTCCATAGTCCCAGTGCTGTTTATGATGCCAGTATTGTTTTTAAGTTTTAAAAAGTATACTTACTTTTTGTAAAGGTACAATTGATCCACCTCGAATTAGAGTCAAGAAATCAGAATCTGTCGTCGTCATGGTTACAGCGTCGCCAATTGTCGCATTTAATCGTAATCCACTATACATCTCGTACCAAGTCCCGGGCGGCATCCACACATGGACATGTGTTTGACTCGGTTGTAAATTAGGAATTATTAATAAATTTTCACCAACATTAAACTGACTGTTGACATCCTTTAATTCTGATACTTCAGGATATTGATAGAACATTGGACGAAGTAATGGTCCTTCTTGAAGTGTAGTATAAAAGTAAGAGAGTAGATTAAGTCTATGATTCAAAGCATTATTTATATATGTCCTGTAAGTACCAACGAATTGGATAGGATCTCTCGGTGTTGATTTCGAATGGATAGTAAGTATTGGGAAAAATGTTCCTGCCATATACCACTTTACGCATAGTAGGCTGTGATTTTCAATATCGAAGTCTTCTGAGTCTCCACATACAGGAGAAGACCAGTACCAATGGCCGGAGATACCACCTAATGCCATGGATATCAGTTCCCTGTGTAAGCTTGTCCAACTAGTATCAACATTTTGTCTGTTAATTACAGTTTCTCCATTCATCCATTGACTTGATGACCATTTTGGTAATGTCTTATCAAATATTGAATGCGTCGCATTTATGAAATTGTTCCCGTATATGTTATGTTTGAAAAGATATATACCACCGTCGTTGGGTAAAGATGTGTTCCATTGTGGTGTACGATTCAAAGCATTTTCGAAATTCTGAAAATTTTATTTAAGTTCTTTAAAGCCAATTTTACCAGAAAATCAAAATAAAATAATATATTTTTAGACTAAGATGCTGTTACATAAATAGTCCTTTTAATCCTCCTGTTCCTTTGAAATAGGTGAAAAAGTGGGAAAAACCTACCAAGTTAATCAACACAAAAATTTATAATTAAGTAAAAATAAAAATCAAACATACCTTGTTATAGTACGGTAAATATAAATAAGTTTCGTTATGCAACTTTTTTGACTCATCCAAAGGCCAGTTGTTTTCTAAAATTATTCCATCCACATCAGTATTATAAATCCATAAATCTTTTATTAGTTCTTCTGTTATTGTTCCATAATCTGGATAGACTACAGTATCGTTGCCTATTGTACCTATGTAAGGGTCTAAATTATTAGAATCTCTTAATAAATATCTTTCATATCTTGAAATAGTAGGTCCACAACTTCTAGTGCTATTGTCTATTTCTTCTTCGTCCATCGTTGTATTTACTTCATGACGAATCTGAAAATACAGTTGTTTAAGTTAAAACTTGATTTGATTATGCTTCTCTATTTTACGTTTCTGATATTTTCGATTTTTATTTAGTATGATGGTGTCGTTAAGGGAATCAATCTCTTTTCGAATTTTTAAAACTCATCTCAAATTCAAAGATATGTGTGAAGTCAACTAACCCGCACTTGGCCAGCGTAGTTGACTATGGCCTAGTCACCCCTAACTTAGGATAAGCTTCAAGCCCCTCAGTGGGGATGTAAACTGAGCTTATGATGATATCAAAAGTTAATGCTTCTATTCCCTTTATTCTTTTTAACTTAAAAAGATAACATTTTTGGTTCAATGTCTAGTATACTACTTACGTATGGTGATAGATGTGGCACAAAACGTTTGTTAAATCTTCTTATCAGTCGTAATCCTCTATTAATTATATCGTTTTCAGAATTATCGCAATGATCACTTTTAAAAACTATCGGTATTGGTCCACATGTACTTTCAAAAGGTAGACGTTGCCTTGATGCAGAGTTCATGAATGTATTAAATTGTGTAAAAGCATTATCTATAGGTCCTGGGTATACACTGAAAAATAAATATTTCTTGAGCAAATATGTATCACTATTGACGGCAAATTACTATACCAAATTTTTATACCTGCATATATGAGGTCCAAACATCCAGTAATCAAAGTTATTGAAAGTACCAATGTAATTCATCACATCTCTCATGACATGTTCTGGCTTCGGTCCGGTAAACAAATGAAATCTTAAACCGAAACTGGTGATACCACGCACCACAATCTGATTCTCAGCCAGTATTGATACTTCAGTCGGTGTACTAGAATCTAACAGTAGACCGTGATAGGATTCGTTAATTTTAGCAAATATTAATGGAATTGAACTAATTCCTTGATCGTGATTGTAAATAACTTTAACGGTGCCAGCTTTTAGTGGAATCTCGCCTAATCCGTACATAGATTCATTGGTTATTTTGAAAGCAATCTCCCAAATGTTACGAGACGCTATCATTGGACCTCTTAAGGTATTGAAAATGTTACCTTGAAGTGAATTAACAACAATATTCAACTCAGGTGATGATATTGAATAATTATAGTCTTTATTTTCAATTCTACTTCCAGAATATATTGTCAATTGAGGATTGTACAAATTAAGGGTTAGATGTGTAGGTGTAATTTCATCTACAGATATTCTTAAGTTGGGTATACTATTTTGTAAGGAATATGGCGTTGTTGATATTCTGGGTTGTAGAGTAACTTTTTCAGACCACTCTCGATCAAGAATGTAGGAGAAACGAGATGGTAGTCTGTGGAAGCAGAATCTGTTTCTGACGTCATAGCAACATTGAGGATGGCAATTTTGTTCGTTCATAGTGCCAATGCCACAGGCGAGGCGGATTTCTCTTTGCAAGAGACATGATCCCGTTGAATAACCGTCAGCTGGTGGTGCGTCTACGCTCGGGAAAAACCAAAACTGGTAGATTAGAAGTGGAGCTGCGATTGTAACTAGTAATACGATTAGGACAACCTTCAATGGTCTATTCAATAGTAATTGATCGTACCAGGTGATCTCTGAAAAAGAACAATACTTATTATAAAGGGAATTATTATAAAATAAAGGGAAAACAAAAGAAGAATTAAAAGAAATAAAACAAGAGAAGAGCGTTAGATATAAATAAAAAGATATGAATAAAGGTACTAGTGCCAATTACGCCTACCTCTCTCATTGTCACAGATACAGTTAAATCTTACTAATATTATAAATGCGAATGTATGGATGTATGATTGTTAGAAGGTTACTCCAGAACGGCTGCATGGATTTCACTGGAATTAGGCATAGATGTAGAAAATAGTCTGGAAGAACACGTAGGCTAATAATTTCGTATTTTTTTTTTCAATTCCGCGCAGTCGGAGTCTTCTAGTATTTTGATGTATACAAAATACTTACGTTTAATATTTTCATATTCATAGATTAAATCGTTTTCGTCTTTTTTGTCTTTAATATCTTGGCTGATATCTTCTGCGCGAGGTATCATTGTACTTCGTCATTGGTCAAAAATATCATCTATAGTATTTTGCTTGCAATCTCTTGACTTATAAATTAGCAAACACTTCACAGATTAAAAGCTAGCTAAAAAATAACACATTAGCTAGACTTTTGTAGACACCAATAACTAAACATTGAGCATTTTAAAACACTATTAGATTTTTAATCTTGAAACTATTAGGAAATTCAAGCACAAACCTATAACACTACAAGCTTATTTTCACACAATACAATTTATTTTTAAGAAAACAATAAAAAAAAAACAACCAAAGACTACAACAAAAGTAAAATGCCATCATAAAACAGATTATCTATTGAATTTTATAATTGTTTGATAAAATTGATTAGATTAGAACGAATCGATTTTAATTATACGAAGAAAATTGATAACATTGTTCTGTGATGTGTAAAGTAAGATAATTTATTACAATAACAATGTCTGATCAAGAACATAATAATAGAAACTGTAGATTTATTCATCAGTTTCAAAATTTCTCTAAATAACAACCGTGATTATAGCTCCATTACGAGCTCTGAAAGTCAGTAGAACTTAGAAATTTACCGTGACTTTCTGACACCAAAATCTGTTTAAAACATATCGTCTTCCCTGTCATTATTTTTGACAAAACAGAGAAATTAAAATCTCAGAAACCCACGGTAAATTTCTAAGTTCTTTTGAACTTCAAAGCTCAATGGAGCTATAATCATGGTTGTTGATAGATAAAATTTTATTAGAGCTTCTAGTCTAGAATACTGAAAAGAACTGAGGCAGTTTCAGGATATCAATAAAACACATTGTATTTTTAACTGAAATTTATTTACTTATACAAGGTTTACTTATAATTATACTAAAATACTAAAACATGACTAGAGTGATGTGTAATCACTTTTAAAATTATGCTTAACTTTTGCACGTGACTTTGCGCGGAATTAAAAATTAAGTTGCCTATATATTTGTCTCAACTATGTGACTTAATAACAAACATCCATCCATGCATCTAAACTTTCGCATTTATAATATTAGTGTTATATTTTCTTTAACTTAGAGCGTGGGTGGCTCAGTGGTTTCAGCACTTGACTTGTAATCTGCACGGTCCTGGGATCGAATCCCGCCATGTACCAGTGTGTTTTTTGATTTCCGATTTACATATGTACATTTACCCGACGTTCTTACGGTGATGGAAAACATCGTGATGCAACCTGCACATATCTGAGAAGAAATTCAAAGATATGTGTGAAGTAAACCAACCCGCACTTGGCCTGCGTGGTTGACTATGGCCTAGTCACCCCTAACTAGGGTAGGCTCCGAGCCCCTCGGTGGGGACGTACCGTGAGCTGATGATGATTTTCTTTAACTACAAGTATATAACTGTCACATAGTATGCGGTTATAATTGTCAAACACTCTTGTAATATAGTCTCATCTCTTCATCTCTTTGAAAAAAGTTGAGATAACAATATTATATTAGTATTATTATATTATCTGTGGTTTTAATATAAGTTTTTGGCAATCAAACCGGGCAGAGACAAATGGCGATTATTTTAAACATTTAATATATTTATTTCTTCAAACTTAATGCCTACAGGATGTTTTGAAATTAAAAATATTATTTGAATTAAGTTCATATGTAAATTTGTTATAATTTAATTAATTATGGTCTATTGTTAAATTAGTAGAAGCTTTTATTATTCGTTATTAAATTGAGAAATTAATGTCGCTATGATTATTTATAATCTTCAATACTTATACAAACTCATTATGTCTTTACTAAAGTTACGTATATAATACTTATTATTAAACTAAAATATATATCAATTCAACGCATAAATTAAGTAAATAGGAGAACGCCGAATCCTATAAATATATAAGAAAGAAGAAGTGATATTGAATAAAAAAGTTAGTTTATATAATTAGTGTGAAAATTATCTATAAAAAATGGTGTATCAGAGTAGCAAAAGGTCAAATTGTTTATAGTGAAAATATTATTTATATAACCTACCGTGGGTTTCTGAGACCAATATCCTTATGTAAAACATTGTTATTTCTGTTTTTTCAAAGACTAAGATGATGATAAGTTTCATAAAGAGATTTTAGTCTCATAAACCAACGGTTACACTTCCATCAATTTATTCCTTACAATACATCTAATCTGTTCATGAAAGCAAACACACTGCCACACAGGGTCCCTTCTTTTCTGATTATTCTAAAATTAATTATAAATTGCATAGGATTTAATTAATTTAGAAGCACTAGTCTTTTACAAAGAGTCGAGATGGAAATTATTTCATTCTAGCCGAGTTTCGCTTTCTAGTTAGGCATAGGTGATACAGATCGTCTAGCTTGAAGCGCTTTATTGTCACAATAAGTTCTTATATCATCTATGGGCTGCATCAGGAACACTGGAACGTCATCGTCGCGTTTCTGAAATTCAAAAGATCGATTTTTTAACCGACTTCAAAAAGGAGGTTCTCAATTCGTCTGTAAGTTTTTTAGGGTTCCGTACCTCATTGGAAAAAACGGAACCCTTATAGGACTTTGTCTGTCCGTCTGTCAGTCAAGACCTTTTTTTTATGAATCTAACTTAAACTTTATTCACATTCTTTTGTATTTTTTCATATGTTCATAGCAAAGTATTACTATTACATTTCTTTTTAGTCATATCATTATGAGGAATAAAGTAAAATTATACAGACCTGGAATAAAACTTCGCCTTCAAAGAACGTAAGTTGATGCTTTCTCGTCCTCAGCAATATTCCAACAAGTTTGTCAGAAATTACTGTGTATATCTGTAACAGAAATAAAATATAAAGTTTTAATTTAAAAATTTCAAAGGATGTACTATTTTTCTATACCAGTTTTATTGTTTTAAAAATTAGTGGTAACGGGTAGATCGTTTCGAAGAATAAAGCATGAATTCGTATTTTTCCTGTACAGTTACAAGGATTGCCTTTTGCTCAATCATCTCTTTCTCTTAACTAGAGTGCCCGCTCTCTCCTGCTCCTTTCTTTTCATTTTCTGATAAACAATATCGTTTACTTTCTCTTTCACTTGTTACATATGTTATTCTAGGTTCTTCCCTATTTTTTTTTATAAAAATATTTTTTACATACATAACTTTAAAATCGTATCAAGGGTAGACGATTTATTACTCTTAAACATTATCGTATTCAATCTTTTTCTAATGCAATCTTTTTCTTTTCGCAATTGTTATTCATAATATTTTTAAAAAACATGTTGCAGTATTAATAAATTTAGTTAAACGCGATGAAGAAATGTAAATATTTATTTAAAACGAAGGTCGATTGTTCTTAAATATTGAACGTAAATAAGCAAGTCTCTAATTTATTTATTCAACTGAAACGCTAAAGAAGCAACGCATGGATACTATCATATATGCGAAAAATATGTTTTGTTCTAACAATTACATCATATTTAGACTACAAAGTAATTTAAAAAATTGTCAAAAACCAAAGAAATTATATTTATTCCATTCCCATATTCGGTCAGGTCCGTGTTTGCGTGTTTACTGTACTAATTGCGTGTCTGATCTGTCCGCCATTAGCAAATGCGGTTCCAAATTTAAATCATGGCCGCCAAACGGAATGTCAGATGACGTCACAGGTCCGGACGCGGTTTCGTGTCTCCGATGTTTTACGTATGAGCTCAGAGCGCGGGAAACATCAAATCTTCAAGGTTATGTAAACAGTCATATCCTTTTTATGATTTATAGATTGAACAGTCGTAAATGAATATGTTGTGTTTAATTTTATATTTTCTGGAAAAAGTGTTTACTCAAAGAGAATCGCACGCATTCTCTTAGTTTTGAAGTATTCATAATTTTAAAGCTTTACCACAAATGTCCAAAATTATTAGTACGATGTTTATTACCAACTTCTTTCGGTCTTATATCTGATATTTATTAGGATAAAAACGTCCCGGCTGTATGAAGTGCAACAATTTTTATAATAACATTTAAAAAAAAAGTAGAACCATTTCTAGCAAATGTTATTGAAATCGGCAAAAGGAAATAGCAATCTCTGCCTATCCCTTTACAAGCGTTAGTGTTTATGTAATTGATTAAGAATTTCAACACAAACCTAATTTGTTTATGACAAAGAACAAACCGCCGTAGGAACAAGCCGTTGCGTTCTTGGAATATTTCGAACGTGTTTCATCTTCAGATTCGATGCCAAGATCGTTATTATCATGCAATTTAATCGTTGCCCAATAAATACAGGCACAGAACAGATGTCGCTTAATGTGATGCTCAATTATAAATTAGTTTTGTTTTGTTTCGTTTCAAACAAATGAAATTATCTAAAGATAATGTCTACATTTTTCATACTATTGAAAAGCTTAGAATGGCGTAAATCGGTCATTTAATACATAATAAACGGCCTACTTCTCAATTATAATAACGATTCACCAAAATAGTAGACTACTTTTACCTACCAAGTGTAACCCCTTGGTGGGGGTCTACATTTGTGAAAATTACCCCCAACAGGGGGCTACAATCCGCGCCTGAAAGACTAGCTAGTTCCCATAGCAGTAATTTTTATGGGCTTACGTTTCATCGAATCAGTTTAGTTCATCAATCTTACCGTAAAAAGTTCTCCGAATGATATGACTTTGGTAGCACACTGCAGCTCTGGAGGCAAGAGGCTTTTGCAAGGAGTTTTGCCGTACTCATTGATTATCTCGCACAGTTCCTTCATCTCTGAACAAACTCTTGCTTGTGCCTCCGCCCCTCGGTATTCTGTCTTCGAACCGGGGATAGGTCTGTAAGGGTAATTTAATATAATTAATTTGATCTAAATCTGCAACTTTAGATTAAGTTTGGGTTGAGATGGGGTTCCCTTTTCGTCATCGTCTTCTTTACTTCAATACGCAGATCCTATAATAATATAAAAACTGTGGACTAATGAACAGATAAGTTCATTTATTAATCTTAAACAAATAATTTTAATTTTAATGATTTGTTTAAGACGAACTCTTAAAGGATAAAAGCTCATTCATCTATTGACAGAATCTTGGGATATTTGTTTACCATCGATGTGGACAGGCGTCTGGTTTACGTCAAATCGGTCAACAACTTTACGCGTACTATTTTTTTACATGCAGGTTTGTACGATCACTACCGAAAAATACAAAGTCGTATGCACTGGAAACTTACTTTTAATTATACATATCATTTGACGCACATTACGTGTTGACTTATAACTTTTATGGTGAAAATTTGATACGATATTCGATCCTAAATGTATAGCCATAAATCATATTTTCGGTTGTAATTTATAAGAGTACTCACTTGCCATATTCGTCTTTTGAGAAGGTCGGTTTGTGATTCTTGTCGAAATGACCACTGAACGCTGTAACTTTCTGCAGTTCGCTGTGCGCCTGCGCCTTTGTGTCGAAAGACGATATTAAGTCTGTTAAAGACGAACTCTGCAAAAAATATTTAATTACAAATAATTAAGATTTAGCATTTAAATGATCTGTTATGTTTATCGGATTTGTGCATCACAGAAGTTCGCAAAGTCGAGATGATATTATGATTTCTTTTTTAAACTTTGTCACTGAAATAGTTTGCTATTAAAGTAACTATATAGATATTTCGAGATAAGTAAGCTTCATTTATTATCATTGGCTTTAATTTAAACTCGTCCAGTATTAATAGTACCATCCTCCGGATGCGCAATGTCTGGAATCGTGCAGTTGTTTTGTTTATTCCAATTAAATTTGTCTTGATTTATTTTGTCGCGTTTGCCAACACCTGAGGAAGATGCGGGGTGCGGGGCGAGGCGCGGGGGGACGCTGCCAAACATCAATCATCAATAGTCTTGAAGCTATTTCCTCTTTGTAAACAGACGTCTAAGCCCTATTGACGTTCATAATTTAGCTAAAATTCTATTTGTGAAATTTGAACTTTTTTACATTGTCAAGGTATCTTAAAATAGTTTTTATTCCAAAACTAGCTGTCGCCCGCGATTCCGTTTGCGTAAAATGAAAAAAAAAAGACTTAAATTAATTCCCGGCAATTATTCGAATTTTTCTTGCCTTTTATACCTTCCTTAGACTGCCACGAACATTTCAAGACTAAGATAAGATAAATCTGTTCAACTGTTCTCGAGTTTTAGCGACACTAATGAACAGCAATTGATTTTTATATATTTAGAGATAAACACATCGTTATTAATTCTTTCGCTATTCTAGACTTCACTGTATTACAAGTTTTGTGTCAAAATATTGTTTTGCGGTTTATACCGTTTGAAATCTTAGTTAACTTAACAATAATTTCATACAGTATCCACTTACAATCGAACGATATCCAAATCAAAAATATGCGGTATAACGAAAGTTCGAAGTGTTTATATGTAGCGAAGATTTTGTTGTACTAGGAGCGCATGAATCAAGTGTTACCTTGGCCCTGCGCCGGCCGGCCTCGGCTCAACTCACGTTCAAACGTCTTTGACGTCGGCGCATACGCATCTGACTCACGCTTCCGTCTGCGATCTTGGAGGATTTAGAGGAATGCTACTGGTATTTACGCTTTAAAATTAGTACTGGAATTTAAACTCGCCATATCGTTTTTGGTTTGGCAAAATACTGAGACATGGTTGTAAATCTTAGTAAGATGTTTGTTTAAAGATGCCGCGCGCAATGTGCAGTGCGTCTTGCATTTAAATAGAATCTTGTATTGCGGTATGTCTTTTGTTGAATAGATTATTTAAATCTTTGGACTTTACATAACTTTGTAGCGTAATTGTCATTATGTCCTTTAAAAGTAGTTACACGATTGTAGTACATTGTAATCTTACTCATATTATAAATGCGAATGTTTAGATAGATGGATGTTTGAACATATCTCCGGAACGACTGCATGGATCTCGCTGAAATTTGGCATAGATGTAGAACATAGCTTGGTAAAAGGGCCACTTAGTTACTTTAGGCTACTTATTATTTTGTTTTTAATTCCGCGCTTAAGGAGTCACAGGCTACATTTAGTATAGGCACAAAGCCTAAAATTTCATTTCATTGGGCGGAATTATGTTACAATGCTGATCGTACATAACCGAATTAATTAGGAACGATACAAATTCTAGATATATTAACGAGCGTCAAAACACACGTGTGTGTTGAAAATAAATATAAAAGCTACGAGCTACGAGTATATGTTAGCAAGCTCGTATCATTATTTAATTTCTTGTCTTATATTTATACCACAGTTGAAATCATTGCGAAACACTAAAAGAATATCTGCTTAGTTGAATAAATCTTAATAGAATTAGAATAAAAATATGTCTACAATATTTGAATTATAGCTACTGTTTTGATAAAGTGAAGACATTAAGTATCTTCCATTTTAGCATTTTCTCTCTTTTTTTCTTCCAGTTTCTTTTACTACATGCATATCTTACTAAGATAAATGCGAATGTTTGTTTGTTTGAAGGTATCTCCAGAACGGCTGTATGGATCTTGCTGAAATTTGGCATGGATATAGAACATTGTCTGGAAGAACACATAGGCTACTAATTAAGTTTTTTAATACCGCGCGGACGGAGTTACGGGCAACAGTTTATATTCTTAAGAAATGTCAGTTTAAGCATTCTATTTTGCTTTATAGCTTGTCTATACAAGTCTTCATTGAAGTACAAATTAAAACAAGATTAGCAAGACTTGATTCCAGTCCAGTTATTCAAAGTACTAGCCAACTACTGGATCAAAGAAGTTTTAAGATGTCATTAGGTAGGTGTAACAATCGAGTTTAACAGCGCGGCGTAGAACTGGCTATGCGCCAAAAATCTGTGTGACATTGTGTATTTTTACTGTACATTTTATTATGTTATTGTTTCCTGCCTTTCTTTTGTGTTATGTCACGTATTTTCACGTCAATCACAGTCTTTTATCGAGTTACTAAGTCTAATTATACTATATTTTAAACATTAAAAATAGCCTAGCTTGGATAGATATGTACTTTTTTTAGGATAAGGGGACAGCCGAGTTGATAATCGTCGCCCAAGGACATCTACAATACCAGAGGAACTGCAAATGCATTGCCGGCCTTTGCGAAGGTACGCTTGCTTTTTGAGCGACCCTAAGTCGTTATTTTGTTTCTGAATTTAAATTAACGACTATTTACAAAAGGATACAATGTAAACTGGTCTAACTTCTAATAAAAGCTTTATTAGGAATGGTAAAGCTAAATATTGACGACAAAATTCGAACACAAAAATGGAGATTCTAGTTTTGTGAAAACCATTGTCGTAGGATTTTAAAATACGCGTATAAATTGTCATACGAACCAGTCTATCATGAAATAGTAACAATAGCTTTTGATGTAAATGATACTCCTTTCACGAAAACGTATATAAATTGTTCAATGTTTTTGTTAGGGACCTATATAATTTTAATTTCAGTTATTCTGGATTACAAATCACAGCAAAAACGATGTTTTAATATTAATTAAATTAAGATATATTTTATGGTCATTAAACAAGTCATTGGTGAAGATTTAATGAGAGAAATGCAAATTTAGTGGCAACTAAGTGAAGCAGTAAGCGCATTGTTGCGAAATATCTGAATTAGTAATAGCATTATTTTCTCTTTGGGCGTCACCACAGGTCCCCCTTAGATGCTCGGATAATTTAAAATATATTTCTAATATAAATTACTTCGAAATACTAATTTATATAATTTAAACACGGATGTACCATATAAAATAATTTTATTTCTATCTTCCCTTAATCATCGCCTGTTGACGCCCATAGTCATTCCTTTTATCACCAGCCGAGTTGAGGAACACCCTGTGCTCTGCGGTATTTCCAAACAGTTTCGACTTAGGGGCCTTCAAGAAAAGAGCGTACACCTTCCTTAAAAGCCGGCAATGCATCTGCGGTTCCTCTGGCGTTGCGGATGTCCATGGGCGTCGGATCAAATAATATTAGGCGATTCGTTGCTCGTTTGCCCCCCCTCTCCTATAAAAAAAAAACTTTCAAAAACAAATAGCAATCGTTATGATACTACGACAATCCAAAACCACAGTTTTTGTACTCATTTATCATTGTAACTTATGCCAATCAGTTGGCAAACAAAAAAATAATGAGTAAAGACTAAGCTTACGTTTTATTTCAATATGTATACTTAGTCATGTAACTAAAAATAATTGTCATTACAATTTGCCGTCATTCTAAATAACTCATTGACTAATTAAGAAGCTGTTTGTTATTGGAAGTCGATATTGATGAATCAGTATTAATTTTGTGGAATACCTCCGTTGGAATTTATTTCGTAGTTGTACTACGGAGTTTAATCTTGTTGTCTATATGTCTCTTTTAAAATAGAACAAAATTATAAATATTAAGTTAAGTTTATACAGTAAACTTTTAAATTATAATATTCAAAGATTTTGTAACACTTATTTGTTATTAATAATTAACTTTCTGTTGTTTGATATTATGATGCAAATTTTGAAAGTATGTGAAACTAAAAAATTAAGAAATCGACTTTGTATATATTTAAAATAATAACATAAAACACATCAAGAATCCTATTCCTCAATATAAGATTATGTGTTTGAAATCATAAATATCTGGACTTTTAGTACAAAGCTTTGTATTCTCATATATTATCCGAGTGAATTAAATTAGTAAATGTAACCTAAAAAAGCATTGAATATAAATTTTTAGATCTTTATCTCGATATAGTCACGCATTTAACATACCGCAATTCTTTTTGTTTAAACATTATCAATTAAAAGTACTTACCCTAGATCTCCTCTGAATAGGATCATCACCGGGGATTGTAAGGAAGTTTCCGCTCATCTTGCCTTGTATAAAAACACACAAAAAACTTCAGGCGAACTTTGTATAAATAGCGCACGCAATATTTATTAGTCGCGCGTACTCGATGGTGGTTTGTGATGAAGTGGCGGGTTAGTATGAATGGGTGACGTTGTAGCCCCTCCCGCGTCCTTCCTGCGCCCCTTTATCCCCCACGCTCTGATGCTACGGTGACGTAATTATGTAGGATGGTCTACGTTTGAATCGTTACAGAATATACGTGTGAAAAACTCCCGAAAAAATACAGTCCACAATTTTTTTTTGCTGGTAGATTTTTTTGGAGTTTTGATATAAAAAATTTTGTAAATGATACATTTGTTGGGTTAATTTGTTTATTATTGTAAATTTTATTTTGTCTAATATCCAATTCCATTCTTTATCTATCCCTTCTTAATAATATTTCAGATTTGCAAGTGGAACTGAAAAAGAAATGTGGATGTGTATTGGTTAAAGAAAAACAAAACCCAGTTATATTTGAAATACGGATATTTATTTTTTCATAAAAATTCTAAATTCAATAATGTGTTTAAACATGTAACATTTACATATATGCATTTATACAAAGATATATGCAATGTTTAGTGATAATATTAATACTAAAACTGGAGCGCAACAGACTTACAAAGATGCCTATATGAATGCGACGATTCGATCACATTTTACACTTAAAAAGTATTTACCAAGTATTGTCGAATGGTAAAGTTTACGTGATAATATTCTTTAATGTAATTAACATAAAGATGAGATTAGAATGAATACTGTGCGCTTTTCTTCTATTCACACACGAATCTTGACACATTTACATAAAGACAAAAGAAGTTCAAACAAAATGCATTCGCTTCGAAACGATTACATAGCGAACTTCAAAAATGTATGGAACTCACGCGTTACAATCACGTGACTGATCGAGAGTATGTGTTCCATACATTTTTGAAGTTCGTTATGGAATCGCTTCAGAGCGAATGCATATCTAACCCTCACGGTATAATATCTAAGAGGAAGAGATACCAATGTTTATATACGACATTGTCTTTATGTAACCATACCTAGATACCATCGGAATATTCTTTCTTGGTGAAGTGGACGTACCTACTGATTGTAAGTATATACAAGTGAATGTAACCATCGAAGAAATAACTATCTTCAATGAAACGAGATGTTTCGGAACAAACTTTCCTTTCAATATACGATAACTTCTATCCGATAAACGATCATGTTCCATCGAAATACCCACCTAAATAAACCAATACAGTATCCAATGAAAGCACACGTGAATTTAAAGTTTTGAACTCTTTTATTTAAGGTTAATTATTGCGATGGACAAAGAATTTCTTTAATACAATTGTAATAACTTTTAAAACTATGTTACGTGATAAATAGTTCCAACGAAAACACTACATAAAAGAAACTCTGCGTCTAAACTAGTTAGAATCAGTCAACGCGGTTACAAAAAATTTCCGATTCAAAAAAAACTCCGAAAGACGAGAAGATTTAATATTATTAAACATACATTATTGAGATTTGGACTAGACCAACCACATTCTCTATCTACAGATATGTAATCAATGATAAATGCTAATATTTAAAAATCTAACTTCCATGTGGGTAAAGTGATGTGCTTCTGATCACGCTTCCAGCATCGCGTAGACTCTGTACGACACTTTTGTAAGCTTATCGTTCATTACATCAACCCAGTTGTCACTCCGACGCGGCGTTAGCTTCTCGGCGTGGAAGGCAGTTGAACGCCGCGAGGACTGGATGCTGTACACTGAATCTTTTGAACTTTTTAATCTATGATTTCACTTCATAAAAATGTCATATATTCTATAAACAAAGGCAACTTCTAATTTTAATTACTAAAACTGCGACTCTTCAATGTTCATGTAACATCTTATAAAGGCGACCTACAATATAATTCATTCACTTTCTACTAAATTATTGGACGATCAGTTCTTTTCTAAACATGTGCTAAGAATCACTTGATTTTTTTGTATTGCGATTTTCATCACTTCAACTTAATACTATTCCTTAAAACACTATCAAAACATATTTGGTCAGTGACAAAAAGTATCGTAAAAATCGTATACTTTCCGAGGTCAGTATGTTTCTTGACGTGCCAGAGTCTACATCATTGCTGAAAACGTTCTGCTTGTTGGCTGTTAGGTGAACGTGGTGTCTCAAATTGAGCTATTCATTAACAAAATTCAACACGTACTGACTGAGAACCTTTATATCTTTCTAAATCTGATTATAACAAAATGCATTTGAGCACTGATAAGAAATACACACACAACTCCGTCTGTCCGGAGACTACCGGACTCCCCCCACAATCTACACGTCGAAGCCAAATTTAACAATAAACACGCATGAACTTGTTCCAAACTATTCCCGCAAACATCCACGACAGTTATGTTATTAATTTTTATAACAATATCACAATTTTCAATAATATACAAAAAGACATAGGAGATTTATATATCATTTTACAAGACAAGCGTATTAAAGTAAGGGTAAATATGTGCTATAACGTTTAAACAACATTGTAATTTTGTCGATTATTTACAATTTTGAAAACAAGGTAACATTAAATAGTACACTCAAAATGGGACAAGGGATGGGATTATATTGAATATATGACCGAATGATATCATATCTAGGTAAATGCACAATCGGCAAGCCTGTTAATTTGAGGGTATAATATTTGAAGCGGTTTATATGAAGACCAGTTAATCATTTCCCCAACGTACACCATACAACCGGTTTAATGCTCCTAAAACATTCCTCAACAGAAGCATGAATTTTCAACAAATGGAGGAAATAATTTACATAAGGCCATATATTAAATACTGTACAAATTTAACGATTAGATGATTGATTAGATAAATAATTATGCAGATATAATATTAAACATTAAGGATTAGGTAATGCATCCATATTACGAAAGTTTGGTCCATATAAGTATCAATACAATCAAGTGAATGTAATCGATGGCTTCATTTTTAGGCATACAGTAAAAACTGTCAATAACATATGCATAAAGTTCAGTAAACGTCATTAGAAATATTTAAAAAGTTAATAATTGGCTGTGTAAGAGAAACTTTAACAAAATCTAAACTATTTTTGCTGAATGCCTAAACGGAAGTATTGGCTTCCGGCCGTTATCGATCAGCTTCTATTGAAAAATATACAATAATTTGTGCAAAATACTTCACTATACGCAAAACTTAATTTAATTTATTTACATAAATCATTCCGGTCTACGAAATCGAATAAAAAAACGAACGCTGACCGAAAACTACCGAAGTTATTGGAAGAAACACTTCAGTGTCGAACGCTTTGGTACGGCAGACTGGCTCGCGGACTGCACGCGCGAGCAGCCCCGGACAAAGTTCATTATTGTACGTATCGTTCAAGTCAAATGCAACTACGATAACATCACAACCGGCTCCTTTGTCCCGTATTCTGATTGTCTTAATTAAGTTCTCGCGTGCATCAAGAGCGGTGTCTCGATCTCACGCGGGCGCCTGACTGCCAGTGGGAGCCTCCGACCTCATTTCTGACTTGAGCTTAACGAATTCCCTCGCCACTTCATCGCTATGCCTCTGCGATAGAATCCTTAATATCGTCCACCCGGTTTCATCCATTTTGACGCGTGTACCCAATGGCAACCAGCATGCACAAGAACCCTGTCAAAACGCATAAATTAGTTACAATTATTGGTGAGCCAAAACTTCATTTCTCTTTCCTATCCCATATTTACCACTTACTCTATTTGGAATTCTTTGAATAGTTACATGCACATAGATATGTATGAGGTAAGTTAGACTATGGTCTAACCTATAGGGTTTTCTGATCTTAGTCGCATGGTGTAGTCCACTATAAAACCTACTTCAAGATTCGTTTCCAAAAAATGTCAGATGTTCGTACCTGTTCCGCGATGTCCGCCAGGCGCATAACCGCGAGGCCCACGAGGCGGTCCTCACGCGCGAAGCAGTAGTCCCGCACGCATACATGCAGCTCAAACAGCTCCAGCTGCTCCGTCGCGCTCACCATACTGAATAACACGATTCATGGGACATTTATTATAATATATTAAATATTTCATTGTCTCCATGCACTGTTGCATTTGGAGGCCTTTGCCCTGAATGAACAACTGTTCAACGTTGATGTCGTACATAATTGGCATCAGAATTTCCCTTGTAGATGTTATATAACAAATCATATTATGAAGTTCATATATATAGATAGATCCTAGATATTTTAGAACAAAATTACAGACGTAAGTGGCAAAAAATGTTGCATAAATGGTTCTCCAGTTTTAGAGCTATCAACGGCTTTGAAAGTTTTTTGATTTAGCAATAGATCAGTCTATTTAAACCTTTTACACTTGTCAGAAATGCGTTTAAAACTTACAAATGAAAAGTCTCGTTGAATTTGGGACTCCAGTTGTTGCTCTTCGACTTGGTGGCGAATTTTCTTTTCTTATCCGCGAGGTGGGGACCTATCAGGTTGACCTCGATGAATGGACGGAACATGCCACTGGCAATCACCCACTTCAAATCGTTAGCGGCAACCACTGCAAAGTTATCAATAATTTATATCGATCAGTAATCGATACCTAAAGTGAACGTAACAGAACAAAGACATATCCGCTTCATTCTCATTTATATGAATGATATGAAGAGATTACATAAATGGGAAATAATCGCATACTTATGTAACACTTTACTTCTAAATTAGGATTACTTGTCAGATTTTTATTCAATTACGTTATTAAGGCAAGTAATATAAAGTATCTTAAAGTCTCTCACAAGTTGTTAAAGTATTTCGTAAGAGAATAAACTATCAAAGTATTAGGTCAGTCCAAAATTTGTTTCATAGAGCACTGGACGGGGACATATTTAAGAAGTGGCTAACGTTTAATAATTAAGATGAATAAATAGAGTAGATACATCGTTCATAAATGATCATAATATTTATTTCAGTCGTTACCTTTGACGGTGATCTTGTGCTCGCCCGTGCCGGGATGCGTGAAGAGGTCGACCTGCAGTGACACCTCACCCACGCTGCCCTCCTCCGCCACTGCAGCGTCTATACTCATCACC